TTGACTTGGAAAGCAACAAATCTCACTGTTTTGTTTCAGAGTGTTGCTAAAAATTTATCATACACTTAAACAAAACTTTGTCAGAATGTCATTGAATTATTTAAAACAAAACATCAAAAAAAAAAAATAATAATAATCTGCTAATGCTTGTAACTTCACTTTAATCCTGTGAAGCCTGACATATGAAATAATAAATAATAGTTAGAAAAATATATATATTTAGAGAACCAAAACTGAGCAAAATATGCAATTTGGTTGCTGATATTTATATAGACAAAAAGTAAGATGAAATTCTGTCAGTGCCGATAGCCTAAGTGGTTAGTGCGCCGACATATAGCACAACTGTGCTCACGGCAGTGTTAATTTTGACAGCAAATTTTGATTTAGTTTTAGTCATAGTCTTTTGACTAAAATGCCATTTAGTTTTAGTCATATTTTAGTCATCTGAATTGTTTTTAGTTTTAGTCGACTAAATATCACAAGGTTTTAGTCGACTAAATCTTCAGTAAATTTAGTCGGCTAAAATCTAATGGGTTTAGTTACAGTGCATTTATTAAGCATTTCTCTAAAATTTCCAAACTCATTATATAGGTTTGATATTAAGGTTTTATTCATGATAGACACCGATTTAACTGCGGTGACACACAACATGCCTTAATGTTAAAATTAAATATAACCACTTCTCATAAAGAACAAGAACATGGTCTTCTTTTTAATGAAATGCCAATGGTTATATAGGCTAATTATGCATTCTTTATAGCAACTTGTTTACCATATTCTTCATTCTTTCAAGCAGACATATTTATTTCTATAAATAAATGTAGATTAATCTTTAGGCTACTAAAGTTTTTCAGTCAAGAGCAGTGAGTGCTCTGGTTAACAGATTAACAGAGTCTTTCTGTTGTTGCTTGATTAACATCAATGACTCGGACAGTAGCAACTAAATTAGGCTGCTATCCCTTTAAAACCGAATGCACAGCTGCAATGGATGCAATGTACTGATACACGTTCTCCCTACTGTTTACGTTCACTTAAGACGTAATCAACTGTGTT